CAGACATTGGCAGATATGATTAATTGATGCTAAGCAGTACTTCTCTGTTACAATAAGGACCAGACAGCGTTAACCAATCCGCATGCAGGAGTTGGTGGTCTGGCTTCTAGACAGCTCGAGAATGGCAGAGGCCAGCTCTGCCCAGCTTACATGACAACATGGTTGTGAGGAGGAGAAGGAGGAGGAGACCGCGAAAACTGGTCATCGCCCGGTCTCTCCCCGCCATGTTGCTGTTCTTGTGAGGAGGCTTGGCCGTTGGCTTCAGTGTTGTCTTCGGTGCTGGTGGCATTATCGGTCAGGGAGGAATTGGAGACCTGAGATGTTAGGTGCTCTACAGTCACAGCAGAGCTCGGGACAGGGTTCTGAAGGTTCTTGATGGTCAGGTCCGAAGTAATGAGCAAGGAGGTCAGGAGCTTTACAGGACAGAACGCTGATCCGGTGGGGTTGAAGTTAACCTTGTTTTTGTCAGGACATGAAAGGAGAGCGGCAGGGAACGGCTGACGAGACCTGAAGGGAGGAAGAGAGAAAAACCACATCTGTATCGTGATATCGGCATGAGAGACGTCAGACACACCGAGATGAATGGGGAGAATCTTTATAATGGGGGCTCTAATGTCAATGACTGGTGAAGCGGATTCTGGGGGTCAAAACATCTTCCATATATCCTGTATCTATTAAGTGTGGACAAAGAAATTAAATAACTCCAGGAGACATAGAAGGGAATTTATCAAAACCGGAACAGACCAAATCTGGAGCAGATTGCCACTGCAACCAATCCGCTTCTCTCTCTAATTTCAACCCGAACCTGAGCTAACTGAAGAGAGAAGCTGATTGGTTGCCATGCACAGCTGCTCCAGATTTTGATAAATTCCCCCACCTAACATATGTGCAGCAGGGAACTCTAGTAAGGAGTCACATTGCTCCAAAGCCTCACAGACACACAGTATCAGCCCTTTGGAAGTCAACTGGAAAATGAAACCATAGCTAAACCCTAACCAATCAACTTCTATTATTTGGTCTTGTATGGTCTGTTTAATATACCATTGAAAGGGACTGCTTACATCGGTTTGACTTCATCCTGCCAGAAAGCTTGTGAGCTGATAACTTTGTGTTCTCGGTTACCTTGTTTTTAGTTAGTTCTGAGGACTACAGGAACCCCAACCCTCTGTTATGGACATAAGGAGAAAGATGGGGTTCTTTTGTCCTTGTACAGAAACCACCAGGTAAAAATAAAAGGGGGGACAAAGCCCAATGCAGCCACCACATATAGGTGGACCTAAGCTGCAACCTACTCAATTTTAGTTTTGGGGTTTAGATACACTTTAAAGACCAACAGACAACTCCATGTCACGTTAGTGATCAGAAAGCAGGCAATTGACAGGGACAAATCTGCTTCCATTGCAAAGAAAAATATCAAATGAATAGTTACCTCAAGTTACTTTAAGAAAAGAGGCTCCCATGTTCTTGCCAAAATGCACTGGTAGTGGAAGGGATTCCACACAACGCAATATGCTGGGTACATGTGGGTGAGGGGAGTACAAGTCATCTATATTTGCAGGACCGAGGTTCCTTGGAAAGTGAGGGTGTGCCTATAGAAGCCTCTTATCTACCCGGGGTGGATACTTAGAGAACTATGGGGTCAGTGCTTTTCCCCATAGCTCTCCGAAGGGTAACGGGAGGACAAACTAGCGTCCTCCCGTCACCCAAAACTCAGTATACCGAGACGCCACAGCTGAAACGATTCCGACAATTATGCCGGGATCCGCCCAGCTGCGTCAGTGACAGCTGGCTCTGCTTATCTAGAGGCAGAGCCAGCTGTACCCGCCCCCTCCCCCATCCGTTCCGCCAGTCAGCGCTGGAGGATCGGACAGGGGAGGGGGGAATCCAGGCAATCCCATGTAACGGCTCCAGCGTTACAATCTTTTAAAGGTCTGGCTAGAGAGGGTTAAGCTATAAATGGAGCAATTTAACTCGCTGCAATTAGTTTATGTATTCATATGGCAGGAGGCTTGGCAGGCACCTTTCTTGCAATTGAAAGTGGTTAGAAAATTGCCAGTCTGTATGGCCGCCATGATTATCCAAACGGGAATGTTTTAGGCAGTTGAGTCCAAAACATGACACAGCTGACGGAGGTCTAACACTTAGTAAATGATGCAGATTAACCAGTTAAAGCTCCATACCCCCCCACCCCAGCGCTTGGACACGATCGGAAAGTGAACAGATCGGTGGCATGTTTCTGCTCACTTCCCGATCGATAGAGCCGACCTGTGACAACTTCTCTGTCACAGGCCAGCTCAGACGGACTGGAAATCACTCGCCTCACAGTTCTCCTTTAAGTGAAATCTTTTATGAAATGTTTTATTCACCCGGGTCTTTTGTGTTGCTTCATGTTTAACATACCTGGAGCTTTAACTGGTTAATCTGCATCATTTACTAAGGGTTAGACCTCCGTCAGCTGTGTCATGTTTTGGACTCAACTGCCTAAAACATTCCCGTTTGGATAATCATGGCGGCCATACAGACTGGCAATTTTCTAAGGTGCCTGCCAAGCCTCCTGCCATATGAATATAAATACATAAATTGCAGCAAGTTAAATCGCCCCATTTAAATCGCTTAACCCTCTCTAGCCAGACCTTTAAAAGATTGTAACGCTGGAGCCGTTACATGGGATTGCCTGTCAAGTGATCGGTTGCCAACGATCATGTGATCAGGAGCCAGCTCCCGATCATAAACAGTGACTGCGAGCTGTTGGTCACAATGTGGTCACTGTGCTGCCGGCGCCAGGTGAGCCTGCTCCAAGCACAATCAAGGGACAATAGCCATATGTATATGGCAGCTCTGCATTAAAGCTTACTGCCGTGCTGCCACATATATGCGTACGGCCAGCATTAAGGGATTCTAAAGCAATAGCCAACTAAAAGCGGGTGACAAACCACTACCCTGTCCACGGTCTGCATTAAGGGTACCATCGAGAGTAAATAACACCATTGTGCTCTTCTGCAAGCCTACCATCACTTATAGGGTAAGGTAGCTCTATAAACTCTCCATTAAATACAACTCCCACCTTTGGGTGGCGTTGGCCTTGTTAAGTTATTAGCTTGCGGCAGGTTGAATTGCATTTCTTGCACCCCGGTGGCAAAACAATATAGAAAAGGCCCAAATTGAACGCGAGGCAACTTGTTGGGGACGTTGGCAGGTAGGAGGAGCTGGGAAACCCCAAGGCAAGTGTCCAACATCTCCCACTGAGTCTAAATCCAAGTGTGTTCAGCCCACCAGTACCCACACTGGTCATTTTTTGGAAGACTGACCATCCGATGGACTCTCAATGCTGCTCTGCTCCTTTGCAGACCTTGAGTTTCATATAAACTCAATGCAGCCAACTATCACATTTCTAAAGAGGCTTCTGGGTGGCATTGCAAATATTATGTCAACCTGTCTGCTATGTGAAGGATGCTATGATTTGCTTAGGGAGAGGGCAGTGCTGGAACCAGGGAACACCGTTGCCTGCATGTTCACAGGACCAGTCAGAAAACACAAGAACTTAGCCTGACGCAGATGATGAATACCAATGAAAATTAGAGCAACTCAAAATGTAGTTTTGGGTATAAGCATCAATACAAAATGTTTGTGTGACCGGCATGTACCTGTAAGCAGAGAAGACACGTTTGCTGCAGAAAAAAAAAATATAAAAATGGCACCCCGCAGGTTCTCAGTCTACGGCCAGAACTACAGAGCGCCAGTTCCGTCGCAGACAGGAGGGCCTGCGGTGTGGTCAAAGCCTGCCTTACCGCTCATAGGCCACCAGCTGACGAAGAGGTTACTACTTACGACATCTCCTCAAAGACCTTCACCCGCTCACATCCCTCTGGGGGCTCCCGTTTGAACATGTAGCTGTTGTTTGGTTTAGGAGAGGAGGCGTACTTGGGCAGCGGTGAGCTACTCCCACTGTCTGAAAATTTAAACAGTGATATTACTAGTGATTGAGAGCACGCTTCCTTTTTACCCTAGCTCTTAGAACTTCAGAGTCAGTGTTAGGCATTTTGTTTTTGTGCTCATCCTTTAATTAAAAAAAGGTGGGAGGGGGGAGAATAAAACACAGCCTGGATCACATCCAGAATCTCAAGCAGAGGCAAGGGAAAAATAAGCAGTGAAAGCATACAGCAGACGGAGCAAACTTCAATGTCACGGTTAGTAGAGTACATACAGGACATGCAGGAGGAAAGAGAGGAACGCCTGTATTATTCAGCAGGGTGGGTGCTTTTGGCAAAAGACTGATGACCAAAAAAAATGTCTGAAGATATTTTCCTAAAACTGTATAATTTGGCATCAGAAAGCAATTCTAATTCTGTGCAGTCAGGTCACGGTGTAACAATTTTCACTGTTAAATAGGGCTTTTAGGATGAGAAGGGGTTAAAGAAGACACTGCATTTTAAAGAGGCACTCCAGGAATTACAGAACAAACCCTTGCAATTGGGCTACCCCTGCACTGCAAGGGTTAAGTGCTTGGTTTGGTCTGGGGGCTCATATAAACAAGACTTACTCGATCTGCGGTCCCCACCTGGCTGGGTGGACTGCTCCCTGCAGATTTCATAACCTTAGCGGCTCAGTTCTAAGCCTACAATCAAAAATCTTCGCCACGAATACTACCTTTCAATCTCAATTTAGTATAAAAACAAGAACAATATGCTGCTCCTTCTAGAAGGCAGAATAATGTTTCATTGGTTGACAGCTGTTGGCTAGGAAGTCCAAGAAATGTGTTTTCTCCCCCCCCTAACCCTCTAGCCACAGACTACCAAGGCCATGCTGAGATCACGAGGACCCACAGACTACCAAGGCCATGCTGAGATCACGAGGACCCAAAGACTACCAAGGCCATGCTGAGATCACGAGGACCCACAGACTACCAAGGCCATGCTGAGATCACGAGGACCCACAGACTACCAAGGCCATGCTGAGATCACGAGGACTATGTAATATGGCCAAGTCACTGACTTACTAAGTACTGTAGTGAGGCCAGTGAATGAACATGGCAAATCGGGAGGCTACATCTAACACAGGTTAGAAATGGCAACTCCCCTATTTATAGCATGACAGGGTGCATTGGGGACAGGTGAGGAGGTGCCGTCACAGGACTGCTGGGGGGTGCATTGGGGACAGGTGAGGAGGTGCCGTCACAGGACTGCTGGGGGGTGCATTGGGGACAGGTGAGGAGGTGCCGTCACAGGACTGCTGGGGGGTGCATTGGGGACAGGTGAGGAGGTGCCGTCACAGGAGTGCTGGGGGGTGCATCGGGGAAAGGTAAGCAGGTGCTGTAACAGGATTGCTTGGGGGTGCATTAGGACAGGTAAGGAGGTGTTCCCTTTAGGATTACTGGGAGGAGATTGGGGGCAGGTAATAAGGCTCTCTCATAGGATCACTGGGGAAAATGAATTTGGACAGGTAGGAGAATCCTCTCACAGGGCTTCTTGATCAAGGGGATCAAAGAACTATGCAGTTAATTCTACAGGACAGATGGGGAAGGGGAGCAGGGACAGGTAAGTGCTTGTACAGGATTGCAGAGGAAGGGACTAGAATCCGCCAAGTGAACTTACACTTCAGTACAGAGTAAACAGATTGGAACCCTGTGAGAAGCATTTGCAGGGAAGAACACAATTTATGAATGTAGTTTAATTTTTAAGTGCATTTGCAATGAAAATATTTTGTGTTACATATACCAAGTATTGCATATACATGTAATGCAGGGAGGGGGGATTAATCAAGAGATGCCGAGACCTGGGCCAGGGAACCACAGAAATCAATCTGAAGACTAAACACAGGTATTATAAGTACCATACGGAGATTGCATTTCAGCCGCATTCCTGCCATAGGTACTTCATATACGGCTTGGTTTACTGTAATGGAAAGACTGGTCTGTGCATCTCCAGAAGCAGGCAGTGCAATAAGCCCCCCAAGCAACATATTATATTATTTTTGGAAAATAAAACCTCCTTCCTTTGCATACCTCATTTTCAAGGCAGTGATGTCATCGCTGGCTTTCTGTGCTTCTCTATGCAATGGAGGCAGATCATAATGGCTGGTGGGAGGGGCCGGCCGGGTGCTGTACATAGGTTCCTGAAAACATCACCGCACCCTACCTCAGTATTCCTCTCTAGAGCCCTCGGCCCTAACACAGGCAGTGGGCCGGCTCTATGGAGGATTTATGTAAATATCAAAATGACTTGATGGGCGAATGTCATTCTAGAGGAGTGGGCCTTGCTAGGCAGGCTGCATTTGCATGCATACCACCAGAGGCAACACCCACATGTGTTGCCGGGCCTCCATGATTAAAGGAACAAATCCAACAAGCCAGAAACAGTCATGCTGGGGATGACAGGGCTAGATAACACTGGCTGTCCTCCAGCCAGGAAATGAGGTGGGCTCTATCTGACTTGGTGCAACTTCTAGTGCACATTGTGAGAAGCTCCCAGTGTGCAGTGATAGAGGAAGCCACTTCAGTCCAGGAGAGGGGCCGGTACAACTGTGCCAGGACGAAGGAAAGGCCGGAGTTCAGCTTTAAGCATTTTTTTAGTTTGGCAATTTACAGAAAAAGACAAACCGACATCCGGACTGAGCTGAGCGAACGGAACCGGTTCAGCAGCAATCGCAACATTTAAACAAAAGCAGTGACCGTTGACAGGCTCTGTGTACCTTGGAAGACACAGCACGGTTTCTACAAACAATCAGTGGCACAAAGGGATGGATTCTGTTCACAGGAGTCGGGCTGCCAATGAAGTCAGCGCTCCGGTATGTGCGGTGTTTTGTGGCCTAGGTGTCGGTGGGGTGAGGTGAGGCTTCTCAAACAAAGCAGTGTCAATACTTCCTCTACTACATGTTCAGCACAGAGTCAAACACGACCTGTCAGAACCAAGACTGGCCTATGCAAGGATCGCCACCATCAGAGGGTCATGTGACTGGTCAGTTTGCATCTCCTCTGAGGACTTAGGAGCTGCAGGACATGGGGCCTCGGCATGGTGCCTGTAGTCCGGATTACAGCTACCACGTTCCCATTCAGGCCTCCAGAGTATGATTGACAACAGCTGGAGCCACGCTGTCTTCACAGCAACTGAGGATATGCATGAAGAGTGCCCTCGGAGGAAGGAGGTCTGAGGAAGCCGTCGAGTCTTTTGCAGGCTTTGCCCCTGGCCCTTTAAAGGAGAACTATGGGGAGAGTGAAATACACTCATCCCCATTAAGGATGCACTGATGCCGGTTTTTCGGTATCGAGTACCGATTTTTTTTTTTCCAGTACTCGGCGAGACCCATTAAGGAAGCCAGGCGGCATGTAATGACTTGCCACCTGGCTTCCTGATTAGCAGGGATGCCTTCCCCATGCTTCTCGTCACCTGGTGACAAGAAAGCATGGAGCCAGCATTCTGACCAATCAGGAAGCCGGGCGCTATGTAATGATGCGGCGCCCAGCTTCCTGATTGGCCCGGGAAGCCGGCTCCATGTTCCCTCGTCATGTGTAGACGAAGGAGCATGAAGCCGGCTTCCTGGCCAATCAGAAAGCCAGGTGCCGCGTCATTACACGCTGCCCGGCTTCCTGATTGGGCGGGAAGCGGCTCCATGCTCCCTTGTCACTTTTTGACGAGGGAGCATGGAGACGGCTTACCGGCTATTCAGGAAGCCGGGCAGCGTGTAATCACTCGCAGCCCGGCTTCCCGATACTGGAAGTATCGGGCTAGGCATTGGAGCATTTGGGCGAGTACAAGTACTCGCTCAAATATTCGGCATCGGCACCGATACTAGTATCGGTATCGATGCATCCCTAATCCCCATAGTTAAAGCCGATGTGTGACACTGCAGCTGTCGCATGCTGGCACTAAGGATTGCTTAGTTTACAGTCTTCTCCATGCAGAAAGCAGTCACAATCAGTCACCGTTCCATGCAGGTATCAACACCGCCCCTCTCCTTGTTCCTCCAACGCTGACTGGAGGGACAGACGGGAGGGGGACGGACATAGCTGGCAATCACCAGGTTTCGCTGACTTCACACATGCAAAAGGTGCTCCATGGATACAATCAGCTGCTCTGAACACAGCATGGCTCTGGAGCATCCCTCTTCTGCGCTCAATCTAGAAGGATGAGTGTTCGTATGACCGCAGCAAACACTGCTTAACTATCTGAAACAAAAGTGTGGCTAAAAGCTTTGATAGTTCCTAATGCCTTAAGATATTTTACATATATTGCATGTACATACACTCAGGAATGGTCATTAATAGTGGAGGGCACAGTACCCTTTTTTTTTTATATAAAGTGCAGGGCTGTGGCCTTTGCAATGACAGTTTCTCTCTTTCGTCAGTAAGCCATACAAGAGACAGTATAAAGAGACAGAAATGTGTTATTTAGGTTAGTATGGGGTTAGAGTCCCCATCTCCTACACAAAGACAAACGCATTCACATTGAGGACAATATTTCAGGAAATTAATTCAGGATCTAGTGACCTTGCCGCACTTCATACCACCTCCCGTAACAAGGTCACTAAAGAGCCGATAGGTTGAATATAAGTTCTGGCAGTCTAATCTCCCCAATCTAAAGAAATCTATGGAAGATATTTGTAAGAGGCACAACGGGAGGAAAGACAGACATGAAGTGACACAAAACAGCAGAGAAGACATGAGCTATGCAAAATGACAATGAAGGTGAAAGCGGCACAGGCTGAACACAGCGACAGAGGAAGAGGGGGGAGAGTGACATCTGCCGCTACACTCACCTTTGTCTCTGTCAAACAGAAGATCGTCTGTGGAACAAGGGCTGCCCTCCTGTGATTCCGGGGGACAGGATGGAGAGGCGCACGGGGAATGGTTGCTGCTGCAGCTGCTGCTTCGCTCTTGGACTGAAGGTGTCTGAGTGTCGATGCTGCGCGTGCTGCTGGTGCGATATGTGGAAGGTAATGGAGCTCGACGTCCATCGGGAATTTCCAAAGGCTGTAAAGAAAAAGGATACACAATGTGAAACTTCTGTTTTAAACATTGCAGAGTTAACCAGTTAATATACAAGTGCAGAAAAAAAATCTCTACACTGTAGCAAACCTGGAAAAATTAAAGTGACACTAAACTCAGCTTGGTTTCCGTAGAGATTTTAATGGGACAGTGGTTATCAGCGTAGTTTTGGGCGTTTTTAAATTGCATTACGGCGCTGAAACGCATCCGCAACCGCCCTGGTGTGGACGGGGCCTCCAGGGATCTTTAAATTGACACTACACTCAGGAGTTAAACCTTAAATATACATTCAGGAACCTCAACTATTAACACCTATGTATCTTATTTGTGTATCACTCGGCTGTAGATCCTCCAATCGTCTCTGAATTGGTGCCGACACTGTCCTTCCTTCTGGAGGGGGGCTGCTTTTGTTCCCCATGGTCCCTGTGTGTGTTGTAAAGTAGTCACCGCTCCAAGCTCACTCCTGTGATGGACTACATTCTCATGTTAAGTTTACCAAGGAACGGCACGGTGGGTCTTTGTACTTTTATTGGAGGGAGATCAACACACTTCCACCTGCCTGAACTCCCCTCCAATCACTGAAAGTGGAAGTAATGTTAAATTACATCACTTTCGGTTTCAGCGAGTCATATAATAGGCCCCTGATGTCTCCATAAAGAGGACCTGTCACTTTCATCATACAGGGGGCTCATTAGCCTCCCATGGGATAGAAATTCAGTGTAAAAAAAAAAAAAGTCCCCACCTCCACATATACATACACGTGCAAACACACATCAGGTGCGCCCATGTGCAAAAATTACAATTGTGCCACAAGATTACATATCACCATGAACGTCTGAGTGCGAGCAATAATTGTAGGGCCATCAAATCACTTAACACTAAACTGATGAGCGATAAAAGCTTTTAAAGCGTCGCCTATTGCCAATTTTGGGATTTCACTGGCACACACAATTTTAAGTCTTGACATGTTTGGTGTCTATTTACCCAATGTGATCACGTCTTTTAAAATGTACTCAAAATTTGGGTAATAAAATGTTTCACAGCATAACATAGTGAAAGGGGGGAGGTTTCCCCAAAAAATGTTGGTACTTTTTTTGTATAGTAAAAAAACCCCCAGTGGTGATTAAATACCAAATGAAAGCTCTATCAGTCCCAAAGAATAATATAAAAATGAATTCCGGTACGGCGTGACTAAATGTCAGGGTACCTCAGCGTTGAATACTGAAAAATGTCCTGGATAGGAAAGAGGTGTCACAATCCACTCTTTAAGGGCTAGTTCACACCAGCCCCAATGCGTTGCGGCACTATTTGGTGCCGGAACGCACTGTATAGCATCACGGCCGGCTCACTGCGTTCTACGGCGGGGCATTGAAGTCAATGGAACCGCAGCCACGCCTTCCGGCCGCAGTGCGATTGGCCGCACCGGAACGCGTGGCACATCAATGCTTGCGTACCGGTCCATCAGAAAAAATGCTGCATGCACTATTTTTCCTGTAGCCATCGACTTCAATGCACCGCCTCGCCCCCTCCCGCAGTAAGCCGGCGGGATGCAAACTGGTACACTGCCAGAACGCACTGGGGCTGGTGTGAACTAGCCCTCAGTGGTTAAAGTGAACCTGCTTTGTCCTGCACAGATCAGTCCAATTGAAAAATCTCAATGTATTAAAAACATGTTTACTGCCTCATCAAAAAAGAAAGCGACGAATTGTTGACAAGCTCCGGTGGTCGTTTTACTCTTCACAAACACGTTACAATCCACATACAGCATCAGCCAAATAAAAAGGCGGTTCAGCTGCAGATTATATATAGAAGTGTTTGCTTTGTGTGGGCCATTCTACTTTAGGAACAGTTCACAGGAAAATTGTGTACCCGGCGACGTATTTATAGGCCGTACAAAGAAAAACAAGCACAATTTACTGCTGCTCCTAGCGAGGAAAACTCCTACACCAAGCTGGAAAAAAGAAGAAGTGTACACGGCTGGGTCAGGGCAAGGGGGAAATGGTGCTAAATTTGGGGCCGATTCTTCTAGGAGGTGGGCGGGAGTCTACGCTGAATTAGAAGAGTAAAGACAGGAACAGAAATAGACTGATTGAATCTACAGCACAGAGGTGACTAGGAAGAGAGGGAAATAATTGCTACATGATAAAAGGAAGTATATACGTGATGATCACTTCACTACAGAGGCACCAAGTACATTCACAGGTCTGTGTCGCATACAATGATGGCACCCAAGTGCATCTAAAACTGAAAAGTACATTATATATCCTCCAAAATGTCATTAAAGGGCAGTTCCACTTCCCTGGGCAAATTTGGGAAAATGTAATTAGAAAATGTATTTGAAGCCGCAAAATACTACAACACCCAACATTTCCCGTAGGGGACATTATTGCTCTCACTCCGCGGCGATATGCAACATGTGTAGCGCAATTTTCGTTTCTGCACATAGGCGCACAGACACATGTTTGCTTATGTATGTGTGTGCACTTGGGGGGGGGGACTTTAAACATTTGTTTTTTTGCATGTTATATGTCACTTTTTTTTAACACTAACTTTATTGCCATTGCATAGGGGGCCAACAAGTCCCCTATGTAATAGCAAATAGGACGTGACAGGTCCTCCTTATGGAGACATCAGGTTTCTTTCAGACCTCTCACCTAGCAGAGATCTGCTTCCCCAGCTTCTTCTCCTGGCTGTAAGAGCCGGAGGATGTGCCCAGTGACACCGGAAGTGATGTAAAACACATCACTTACGGGTCCAGTGATTGGAGGAGAGATCAGCGGCTAAAAGTTTGCTGATCTCTCTCCGATCGATGTAGGGAGACCCGCAAGGGGAACAGCAGAGCCCGGGATAGGAGGTGGCTGGACAGCACACTCCGATCGGTACAAGTGATCCGGCGGCTGTATAGATGCCGGATCACTTACATCTAAACAGCAATCGCCGGCTGTTTACAATGGAACCGAGAACACGGCTGCAGCAGCTGTATTCTTGGTATATACGGCCAGCGGCTGGCCGTATATGTACAGCCACCAGAAAGAAGTGGGTAACCTTTGACTGAACGCTCCTTAGCCTCTGTGGCCCCTGGTGTACTCTCCATACACAGCAGCACAGCCCTTCACTGTGTATTTCAAACTCCACTTGCAAGCGGTGAGCAAAGATTTGTTGGTGCAGTTTAAATATAGTATATCGGATAGTGCACCGGCAGCCACGCAGGTTAAGGGTTCCGTCAAAGGTAAGAGCAACGTCAGGGAGGGAAGAGAGGGGGCAGATTGGTGGGGGTAAATTCAGTTTGCCTTAAAAATGCTGCAGGTACAAAAGGAATACTTGTTGATCTGTCAGAAATCTTGTGTACACCTAACTTCCCATTTGAGCTGACAGCACAATGTCTCTTGTTGCAGTGGAATCCCAAGCAGCGTCGTCAGTCCTGCCTGGCTCCCCTGCTGGACAACAGCCCCAATGCAAGACGAGGCTCATTTCAGAAGGGCTCAGCTCACACCACCACGTTGCAGTGGTGTGTGCTGAAAAGGAGAAGTACAGCGCGCAATACATTTCACGCTGTTCCCCTAGAACTTAATGAAATGCGACAATTCAATAAAGTAAAAAAAAAAAGTAAACAGTGCAATGTGTTGCAATCAGCGTATCTGCACTGTATAGCATTTGTATGTTATAGTGCAGCTGCTGGTGCTAAGGGGCCCTCAGTATTTTTCAAAGAGACAAAACATGGGAAAGGTGGCCTGTGTAGCGGAGACGTACTGAATGTTTAGTTTGCTCAGACATTTTTTACACATTCTGAGGCCAGCCGTGCTCAAGGCATGACCGCTGATGCTCAGGGGGAACAGTGCTGGTGTGCCAATCCCAGCAGTTCACTTTTTTTTTGTTGTAGCTTTATTGAAACATCACAGGTGACACATTTTTAAAAATTCTATTGGCCACAGCATGGCACAATGTGATCGTACTGCGCCGCACCAGGCAGCACTATACAAAAAGTACTGTGGGAATTGACCCAAAAGGAAACAAAAATCGCCTTGTTTCTGCATTGGGGCCGAGGTGGGCAAGGTTGCCAGAGCAGCCCGAACATACGTGGTGTAAATGGGCCCTTAATCGCATCAAAACTAAAAATGGTCCCTTTTCTCTGTAAAGTTATATTTGGCATAAGTGAAATCAAATGTATGGTTATGTGGCGTCAGCAAAAGGGGCTCAAGGGGGGGGGCGGACTGCTGAGCAGCCAGACCTCAGTCAACTCTGTACCTGACCATTAATACTTCTCATCTGCCAGAGTGCCATGTGACCACAGCCTTGGCAAATCAGAAGCTTCTCCTGTTTCTCAGCCAATAAGGAACACAAGGCGGCTAGACAAAACTCAGGCAAGAATCACACTGTAGTGTGTGACTGTCACCCATTCATTATGAATTTCCTATGCTCCTCGGCTCCCCCTAGTGGTCAAAATACACTGCAAGTCTAAAGCTCAGATGTTCACAGAGCGAGCAGCCCTTGACAGATCCCTAAATACCCCCGCTCTTTCTGGCATTCCCCTGCCCCATCTAGTGGCAATAATTTGGTACTACATTCCTTTCGACCTCAAAAGAAAATATACCAAAAACTTTTTTTTGCCTCTACTCGCACAGAACAAACACTTAAGAGATTCGCAGGGCAAATGGCTCTGCAAATTATTTAGCGGTTTCCTGGTAAGGAGTGCGGTGGCATACCTATTGGACTTAATTTATAAATGACCTCTTCGTTTCATGTTCTCTGGTAAGGAGCCGCAAAATGTACACAAAACAAAGATGTAAATCAAAACGCTGACACTTCCTAACGGATGCAAGCAAGGCTCCGCCAGTCTTCTCACCGGCGTACACCTAGTGGGGAAAAAAAGTGTCCCTGGTCAATGGGGGAGATGACAGGACAGTACCGGCCACGTGCACCCCCCAAACCAGTTATAATCTAGCACTGGAATGGAACCCACAGCCAGAAGGGAGCTGGAAGCAAGTTACGAACAGTGCAGAGCTAAAGAGCGCCTCCGGGCCGCAAATCACAACACAAAACCTGGCAAGTAAATACAAGAAAAACCCTAAAATGTAAAGCTTGCCTCTGGAGGGGAAAAAAATCCACATTCAATACATCTCATAAAAAATGCTACAAGTACAGAAAAATCGATCCTGCCAGAAATGCATTGAGAACCTAACTTCCTGTATGAGCTGACTTGTCTCTGCTGCACTGATATCCCAACCAACCTCATCAGTCCAACCCATTGTCCCTATTCTGGGCAGGACAGTAGTTTAGCGGATAGCACTTCAGTACCGAGGGTCTTGTTCTTAGACCGGTCCCTGGAGCCTCCTTCCTCCCCCTCCTCTGCAGTGGTCTAAGGTCCCATGAATCATCACATCTAATACACAGTCTATAGATTTGAGGACACGGAGGAACATATCAATGCTGCAGCTCATAGCCGGACCTTTACACTGCAGTATGGAATATCTAAAAAAAAAAAAAAAAACACCATTCCCATAAGTATTAAAACGTTTAAAACGCTTTAGCCTCTTTATAAATACTTATGTTTAAACAGTAGCACCGCAATGCAGCCGGCAGCCATGTTTGAAGAGGGAAAAGCTGCTCCTTCCGTGCCAGCAAGGTATACCATTCAATATTTACTATGGCCACACCCCATTCTGACAATGCGCTTGCTATCCTCACGCATGCGCTAGGACGAAACTACCGATCCACGGCGCATGCTGTGAAGAGTAATCTCGCAGCCATTTTCTTGAACGAGGTCTCATTTCATTGACTACTTAGCACCTGGAAAGCAGGAAATGAATGCTCTGCAAGTGTAAGTATCAATATAACAGCATTTTACACGCGACACGTCTGTTATTATTAATCATCATACATAGAGGGATGCATCGGTGAGATATTTGGGTGTAAAGGTCCACTTTAGGAGGAGAGAGGCTTCAGTGACCGGAGAAGCAGGCAGCCCGCTTGGCAGTTTGGGTGAGTAACTTTTCTTTGTAGCACCTAGACAAAAAAACGAGCACTCACTTAACCCTTGCAGCGCAGGAGTAGCCCCACGGCAAGGGTTAGGTACACTTTCACCTGGCGTTCCTTTGACTGAACACACAAATACCTTTACTCCGTCTTTTTCACCAGTTTCCTTAATGAAGACTCTCTCGAGTTCAGGGCTTATTCCTTCAACGTTACACGGGACTCTGGTGCCTATGGACTTTGGTACCAGGATGCTTGCAGTGGGCACAGGGATGGATCGGGATGATGAAGCCTAGAAGCACAAAACAGGAAGACAGCTTTAGAAAAACATTTACAAAACAAAGCGGAATGCAGAAAGACACTTTAAAACGTATCTTGTACTAGTAATGGTCTGGCAACGAAATAATGAACTCCAGGAAAACGTTTTCTTAACCCTTGCAGTGGGGCTACCCCCGCATTGTAAGGGTTAAGAGCTCCTTTGAGTATCGGTGCAAAAAGAACGAAGGTATACGCACCCGAAGCTGCAAGCCGGCTGGCTGTCACAGCGCTCCCTGCAGCCCGTCTCCCCCTCCCTGCAGTCCGTCTCCCCCTCAGCGCCCTCCCATCTATACACTAAAGATATTTATTTTCCAACCAGACGTGACTGTAGATTGCACGGTAGGTAGTACCAGACGTGACTGTAGATGGCACAGTAGGTAGTACCAGACGTGACTGTAGATTGCACGGTAGGTAGTACCAGACGTGACTGTAGATTGCACGGTAGGTAGTACCAGACGTGACTGTAGATTGCACGGTAGGTAGTACCAGACGTGACGGTAGATTGCACGGTAGGTAGTACCAGACGTGACTGTAGATGGCACAGTAGGTAGTACCAGACGTGACTGTAGATTGCACGGTAGGTAGTACCAGACGTGACGGTAGATTGCACAGTAGGTAGTACCAGACGCGACGGTAGATTGCACGGTAGGTAGTACCAGACGTGACGGTAGATTGCACAGTAGGTAGTACTGTTATTTACTGGCTTCCCGGTAAGGAGTGCGGTGGGATACCTATTGGTCTCTGTAACATGTACACAGAGCAAAGATGCGACTATAGCCTAAAACACTGAAGGCTCCGGCAGTCCTCTCACCAGCGTACACCTAGGGAAGAAGTGTACCTGGTCAATGGGGGAGATGACAGGACAGTACCTGCCACATGCACCCCCCAAACCAGTTATAATCTAGCACTGGAATGGAACCCACAGCCAGAAGGGAGCTGGAAGCAAGTTACGAACAGTGCAGAGCTAAACATCCAAGACATGTACAAATATACAAGACTCAATGGAAAGCCGGAGTTCAGCTTCAACCAAAGTTCACATTGAGAAGGAGTAAAATATTTTGTCTATTTGCCGCACCATATTGTCATTACTGCATCACATAAGAGATCTGTAGGCTCCCCAACTGGCGGATATCACTGCAATAACGGACCCTTCTCAATCAACAACTCCTGGAATAAAACCGAAGGCACACACATGTATATATGAGACCTGTGTATTCCTCTGCTGCAGTTCAGTGACCCTTCCAGGTCTTATCCCTCACCCACCTCATCAGTATGCTCGTTAGCACATGAGCACAGCCAACAGTGTGCGCTGCTTCACCCTCTCTCAGTCCGAGCTCTGCTATACAGGGATGCAAGTGGCTGATGCCAAGTCAATTTCAGGTACTTATACTGCTGACAGTTAAAATAAAATTGCATGCTGCACTAGTTTGTCTTTATATGTCCCTCTCCTTTCACTGTCCAGTCACAGGGTGGGGAGTCAACCTGTAAATGAAAGTGAAAAATCATGTCTCCTCCCCTGCCACGCAGAGCTGTGCAGAGTGGCAGAGCTGTGAATATCTGAGGACTGGAAGGACAGAAATACAAACCCTTTGTTAGGTAAAACAGCTCCCAATCCCAAACCCATCGCTTGCTGCAATGTACAACAATGTATCTTATTTGTGTATCACTCGGCTGTAGATCCTCCAACCATCTCTGAATTAGTGCCAAAGCTGTTCCTCCTTCTGGAGGGGGGGGGGCTGCTTTTGTTCCCCATGATCCATGTGTGTGTTGTAAAGTAGTCACCGCTCCAAGCTCGTTCCTGTGATGGACTACAATCTCATATTTAGTTTACTAATTTGTATTGAGATTGTAGTCCATCCCGGGAGTGAGCTTGGAGCGGTGACTACTTTACAACACACACAGGGACCATGGGGAACAAAAGTAGCCCCCCTCCAGAAGGAAGGGCAGAGTCAGCACCAATTCAGAGATGATTGGAGGATCTACAGCCGAGTGATACACAAATAAGATACATTGGGGGGGAATATATCGAAACTGGAGCCGACAATCTGGAGCAGCTGTGCACGGCAACCAATCAGCTTCTATCTTCACTTTGTTCAGCTAAGATTTGAAAATGAGAGAGAAGCTGATTGGTTGCCGTGCACAGCAGCTCCAGATCTGATAAATTCCCCTCATTGTTATTAGGGGACTTGAATGTATTACGATTGAACTCCTGAGTGTAGTGTCACCTACAATAATATACAGCAGCAGATTTGTTCCAAGTCAAGAATTTTTTAATGCAAACGTTTAAAGATCCACTTCATCAATAATAAGTATAATAAAAAGCATCCAGCGCTCAGCATTCATCTTGTGCAATGTACACATCCCGGGAACAATCAGCCCGATTCTGAAAAATACAATTGCCTGGCTGACAGTTTCCAGGAAGGATCCAACAGAATACTGGAAGGGTTGAGTGGATTAGGGCTCGGCATAGGACAAACATTGCTGCAGACGGATTCCAAACACATCAGACACGCACGGACCTGCCTGGCTTCAATAGCCCCGGAATGATTCACAATGAACTGGACCTACCAATAAATATCACAAACATGAGGCCGGCTCAGCTGTCCTAATAATCGGCTAACTAATCGATTTTGAAAATAATCGTTAGCTGCAGCTCTACAATAAACGACTTTCTAATTTATCTCCTGGATGGTCGGCTTCCAGAACAGAACGGTATAGAAGAATCCTGCATGATTGACAACAAAATCTCTCTTCCTGTAAATAAAACTAGAAACTGAACAGACATAATACGATAAGAACGTTCCTGTGTGAAAGCGAACCTTTACGCCCTTGACTAAAAATCACATCACCATACAGCTCTGCATGCCGATATGAAAATCATACAATCATTAGCTAGAGACATTTTTCTTTTACTTACAATTATTGTTTTTCCACTTCCTGGTCCTCTTGGGCATTAGCGATGTAATGTGCACAAGCAGTGCATTCTGGGAAGGTTACATCGGCAGAGCATTGCTGGGAAATCTCATCAGTAATCTCACGAGATCTCAGGGAAAATAATTTTCCTCCCCTGAGATGACGTGCATGGTCACATGTCCTAGTCGCATGTGCTAGAGTTCCAGGAAGTAAAGGGAGATGGATACATCTGCCCTTAGGAAACATTGCCACTGTCAGAAGAAAAGAGAAATATGGAATGCAAAGTTGCTAATTATCCAGATGTGTTTGTCTGCCACCTCCACCAAAAAAGCTTCCTGGCTGTCTATCTAATGGCTTTGATACCTTGAGTCACTGAGCCAAAATATGTATATACGACTTCACTAGGCTGCAGGCTGAATACACTGAAGGGATCAGCATGACAGCCAAGCAACGCACATTTTCAGAAGGAGAGGTCAGCACAGGCAGGATATATACATCTATATATGTTTTATTCCGCTCTGCGCAGTATAATGAAACAGCCAAATCCTCCGGCTTCCTTGCACCGCTCACACTCCCCAACCATAAATCTGTTAGTGCAGCAGCTAAAAAAACAGCAGGGAAACTATAATGACATATTCGGCAAGGGGTTGGAGCCAGGTTTCCATGCTGAAACACACAATGTGGTTTCTAGTACAAGAAACTGGAGCCAAGAGTAAAAAAAACATTACGCACAGAAGGGGGGAAAAAAAAAAAAGTAAATAGGAAAACTGAAGGACATAAGGAGGCACTCCACCCAAAACTGACCTGTGTGTTGGTAGCAGAGATAGAACACAGTTTTGCTTTTGCAGTAATGGACCTGGTCAGCACCCAAAGGGCTCCCATACAAAAATATGAGGGGGTGTCAAAAAGTAAAAGGCAATTCATATTATGTGATAACCGAACAGAGAAAGGCTTGCACAATACAGAGTACATAGCCTGTTGGATAGTCCGACCATGCACAGTACAGCGCTCGGACTGTGTGTGGGTGGTAGTTACGTGGACAGAAATATGGACGCTCCATTGAGGGATCGCGCAATTGCAGAACGTGCCGTAGTGCGCTCTTTGGGCAAAGGGAGTGAAACCAGTGGAAATTCCCCATCGGATGTTGGCTCAGTATGGTCATAGCACCATAAAATCAACAAAAAGGTTAACGAATGGGTAGAAAGATTTAAAGCGGGAAGAAGAACAGATGAAACAGGCGAAGCTCAGTCTTGACACACACACACATGCTTGACTAGAGAAGGCCAACGGATAACAGCGTCTCAATTGGCTGCACATCTGGATATCAGCTTTGGATCCGTATTTGCCATAGTGAATGACTTGGAATCCAGAGTCAGAGCACGATGGGCTCTCAACAGCTTACTGCTCTCCACAAGCAACAGCGTGTGGAGGTTGTGAGCCAGTTACGGAGACAGTATGAAGGTCATAGTATTGATGAGGTCACTATTGTGCTGCTGAGTGTTCTCCTCGCTAGAAAGGAAGCTGTACTTGAGGACCTCCAGTGCAAGGATCTTACTGTTTGTGCTTCCTCCACCTCTCCTATTGCATTTCTATTACTCCACTAGTCATCCAGGGGGGCTGGTCTGACATGAAAAAGCAAAGCGTTCCTCCTCTACCAAGACACCAGCCTCCAAGCACAGATACAGTGCAGAACAAGGCGTGGTAAGGCAGTCATGGTGAAATGATCAGCTTCAGGAGCCTATTCGCTTGCCCTCTGCTAGTTTTTTAGGCACAGCTCCACAGCCCAAGTCCTCTATAATGTAAACGTATGCAGCTCTAAGTCTGTGATGTGCATGAACAAGTCTGACCATGCGTGCAGAAAAAACTACAATCACATGTTTAGTCATGAAAGGTTAATCTTTGATCTCATGTTCACAGAAACATTGCTTTAGCTGGAAGAATAGTTGTTAGGAAACAATTTGCCTTAATATGTCTTACCCAGCCACCTTCCCACAATAAATGTGCGTCAGCTGTATACACGCACAGCCACTGGACTTCCCCCGCACTCAACACCATATCATAAAACGTCCGCCGCCTCCTCAAAGTGCATCTTCAAATACATTCCACCAAAGTGTTACCTACATCTACACCGGCCACATAACAGTTTCAGAACATACATTCTGTGAAAAGCACTTATTGCCGATGTGGCCCCAATGACTTCACCGTCATATGTGCAAGGTTTAAGGAGAAGGTATGCAGACGCATCTCACTCGCTGTGCGATAGTACTGGCCCAGTCAGCACTCTCACTCAGGGAGTTCATAGTACCATGTACTAGAGATGTCCAGATACAGATACTTGGATTGGTATCAGCGCCCATACCAGGCATTTCGCAATTACTTGTGCTTGTGAAAATGCCCCGATTCTTAGAGAACTATGAGGCGAGTGATTTACACTCATCTTCATAGTTAGAGCCGACCTGTAACAAAGCAACTGTCGCAGGTCGGCTTTAAATCGGTCGGGAAGTGAGCAGAAACATGCACCGATCCGCTCACTTCCCGATAGTCTCCCTGCAGTGAGCGATGACCGCCAGTCACCACTCCCCGCAGGGATTCCCCCCTCCCCTCCAGCGCGGGTTGGAGGAACGGACATGGGAAAGGGCAGGCAGAGCCCGCTGTCACTCACCCACGCAGCTGGGTGGATCTCGACAGTAATGTGGGGATACGTCCCGGCTGCGGCGTTATTGCCGTGATACTGAGCTTTGGGTCACGGGAGGAGGTTAGTGCATGTCCTGCCGTGACTCTAAAGAGAACCAAGGGGAAAAACACCTACCCCATAGTTCTCTTTTAAAGGCGGATACTGGTCCTTTAAATTTTTATACCGCAGTGGCTGCGGAGTTCCCACGCATCCTGCTGGGGACCTGGCAGTAGCTGTCCCTGGCCATGCCTGTCCGGTTTTATCTCTCCTGCTCCTCCTTCCTGGCGCAGTCACAGCCATGGACAGCCACACACAGCACAGTACACCGCCCGGAGACGGCACCCGCCTGATCAACTCTCCACCACAGAGATCCACTAAATATATACATATCACTAAAATTAGGGCGAGAGAATTTGTTGTTACACTTATGGAGAGGTCACACAAACTTTGATAGAGAAGCACATCCAGCACCTGCGTAAATACCGAGCGTTATTCAGGCCGATCATAAAAGCTTCTCTGAGCAGCATCACAACCAGGATACTAATACAATCAGATAATGCATCTGGAACATCATGAAGCTAAAGTTTTGCGGAGCCTTGGCGTGTATTCAGCCAACCTTTCCAACCTGGAAGTCAGAAGGGGTCATGGAGGGCATAAGGTGTGCTATGTTCACTCTCACCTGAGTATGATTGATTGCTATGTGATTTCCCTGGAGAGGCGATGGACTGTCCTTATCTTTGATGTGACGAGTGTTGTTCTTGGTCCGCTGTAGCTGCTGCCTTAGTTTGGCGATCTGTAGAGGAAGAAAATCAATACATTGGAATACATTTTTCTAGATGCATGGAATTTTGGGTGGGAGTCATGTAAATTGGCAGCTGATCAATTCATTACGAACACAGCCAATACACTCAGTCTTACAAGCAAACAAATGGCCAGATAAAGGAAGCTTGGGCTGGCAGACTGCAATCATAGACATCTTCAAAAAAGGTTCCTTGGCTGGCAATCCAAGGGTTTTAAAAACCGCGGACTCAGAGGACATATGCAGATGAGGAGTTGTAACTTTGAGATTACTGGCTCCATGCCTTTTCCAGGTCAGTGTCTCAGAAAGCATTGAGTATATAGACAATCAGGCACTTAAGCTATACAGGACAGCTATGCTTAAAAAAATATATAGAATAATAATTATACAGGATTTATATAGTGCCAACAGTTTACGCAACGCTTTACAATATAAGGAAGACATTACAATCACAATACAATTCAAGACAAGATGGGAAGGAGGGCCCTGCCCCTGAGGGCTTACAATCTAAAGGGGAGGGAGAAGCGATACATGAGGAGGTAGCGGTGAGAGGAGCAATTGTATGAGAACGTGATGGTTGAGTGGTTAGGTTGAGGTGAGATAGGCTTCCATGCAGAGTCTTAAGAGATTGCCTAAAGCAGGTGGGAGATAGATGGACAGGTTATGGTAAGAAGTTCCAGAGGATGGGAGAGAATCTAGAGAAGTCCTGAATGCGAGCATGGGAGGAGATGACAAGGGAGCTGGAAAGCAGGAGGTCTTTGGAAGAGCAGAGGGGACTGTTAGGTTGATACTTTGAGACAAGGTTTGAGATATAGCCGGGGGCAGAGCTGTGGAAGGCTTTACAAGTGGTTGTTAATATTCTAAAACAGCAGCTCAAGCATTCCCCCCTCCCTAACCTCAAAGACCACCCTATTCTAGCCATAGTCCCAACCCCTTACACCTTTTAATATACCGCAGGTAAGAAGATGACCCCGTCTTAGGAGTGCGACCCTACCCTTGTGTACTTGCAAACCTGTAGGGAGGAGGATTATCCATTCGGGTCTATGTAGAATGTCTGTGATAAGAAGGTCCATGCAGACCTGAAAGCTTAGATAGGAGGAACGAACGCCTCTTGGCCTAGTGTAGGCGTCTGGGTTGGGTTGCTTGCCAATCTTAAGTATGCAGAAGGACGTATAGGTAGAGGGCTACAACGAGATGGAGGGCTTGTTCACACGACGTCCGGAATATGTCCGGACCAGATCCGTGCGTCCCTACACCCAAAATGTATCTCTGTGTTTTATGGGCTACAGTTCTCACGTGCGCAGTCTGTTCCGGCCAGTGGTGTATTCTGGTTTGGGGCTGCCCTAGGCAAGGCAAAACTCGGACGCCCCCTCCCACCCACTAAATTTACCCCAACCCTTCCTGTTTAATACCTTTTGCGTAACCTGTCAGTCCCTGGATACAGTGCAAACGCTGTATCCAGCTTTTGACATTTTCTGCTATTAGCGTAGCAGGAAAGCTGTGGTCTTAGGGGGGCTTTGCAGGATTTGTGGTGAGCTCTGGGGGGTCTATGGTGGGCAGAGCCCACCACAGATACTGCACAGACCCCTCGAGGCCCTGCAGGGTGGCTGTGCAGGATCTGTAATGGGCTCTGCCCACCATGGACCCCGCACAGTTCCTGCAAAGTCCCCCACAGATACTATGCAGTCTGCCAGATCTCAGGGGGTCTGTGCAGGATCTGTGGTGCTTTGCAGGCTGCAGAGCCCACCACAAATCCTGCAGAGCCCACCACAGATCCTGCAAAGCCCCCCACAGATCTGGCAGGATCTCAGGGGGGCTGTGCAGGCTGCAGAGCCCCCTACGGATCCTTCAGGATCTGTGGGGGGCTTTGCAGGCTGCAGAGCCCCCTATGGATCCTACAAAGCCCACCAAAAAGGTATTGCACAGCCCACCTGTGACTCTTTGGTGGACTATGCAGAATCTATGCTGGGCCCTGCCAGCACAGTCCTCCTACCTGGCACAGCAAACCCAGCCTCCTATGCTGCCTCGGCACCCAACCGGACCCTTGTCGATGCCTCCTCAATCGCGGTCTCTGCCTTTGCCTCCTCAGTCCTCTAACGTCTCCCCTGTCTCCACCCCCTGCCGCTCGCTCAGTCCCCGTCTCCTCCTGCTCGCCCCTTTATCCCCGTTGACAGGCATCTCGGCAGCCTAAATGTTGGGGGGGGGGGGGGGGGTGCATTTTTGCGGCCCCCTGGAATCTGCCGCCCAAGGCAAACGCCTCGTTTGCCTCGTGGCAGATACGCTCCTGGTTCCGGGCCGGACAGAGAAAATACTGCATGTCACATTTTGTCCAGTCCGGAAACGCAAAACGCGTCAAAAACGCACTGCAGCTAACATACTGAAAGCCCCACTTCAGCAAAAAAAATAGGATTTTTGTACTCACCGTAAAATCCTTTTCTCTCTGTTCATTGAAGGACACAGGGAACAGATCTAGGATCATGTACTGATCTAGGGTATATCGCCACCTGCAGGAGAAGGACGCTAGGCACAAAACTAAAGACTAAACCAGCCTAAGGGCGGCCCCTGCTGGTGGTAAAACCCCCCACCTGCTGACAAGTCTCAAGTAACAAGCAGTTAAGAGTACACACCCAGAGAGGGCGGGACCTGTGTCCTTCAATGAACGGAGAGAAACGGATTTTACGGTGAGTGCAAAAATCCTATTTTCTCTTCCGTTCATTGAAGCACACAGGGAACAGATCTAGGATCATGTTCCGTAGGGACGTCTCAAAGCAGTACCACAGAGAGGGGTGGGCACAAAAAAACGCAATCCCCAAGACCCCACTAAAGGGCCACCTACAAAACCTTGCGCCCCAAGCCAGCATCCGCAGATGCCAAAACATCCACCTTATAAAACTTGGCAAAGGTGTGAACAGAAGACCAAGTAGCGGCCTTACAAACCTGAGAAACGGAGGCACCATAACGAAAAGCCCAAGATGCCCCAACAGCCCTAGTGGAATGGGGAGTAACAGAAAGAGGAGGCTCACGCCCCCGAATGGCATACGCCTGAACAATGGTGTTATGAATCCATCTAGAGACGGTGGCCGAGGACGCAGCCTGTCCCTTCCGAAACCACTAACAGGGAATCCGACTCGCGGATAGAGGCAGTCGCATCCAAATACACCAGAAGAGCGCGAGACAAGAGTCCTGCGAGCCTTTGCGGAGATAGGCACGTGTTGGAAGGAAAGAACCTGACCCCCGGACTTGACAAATAATCAGGGCTCGAAAAATGCACTCGTCCACTCGTCTGTGACGAGTGGACGCCAGTGCTGGACGAGTAGCTTCCCGACCGGCTGTTGTAATTAAACGGCCGGCCGGGAGCTTTACATTCATTTTAACTCTCACGCCGCCCGCGGCGAACTGAGGAGCAGAAGAGCTGCCGCCGGCCAGTGGACTGCATTACCCAGCAGTCACCCTGGCGCAACGGAGGTGTGGCCGTGAGGAGACGGAAGGGGCTTCCGACGTCCAGAGAACACATGAGGTGTGAGGCCGACAGAGATCCTGCAGGTACTGTGCCGTGTGTGACACTGTCAGCATATCACTTCCCTTCTTCTCCATCACTTGAGGACGGAGGCGGCCGAAAAAGCCGCTTGTGAGTGGAAAAGGAAGGACCCAGTTTGCGCCGATGATGAAAAGGTACTTTTCCCGCCCGTGAGATCTTCAATGATCTCATCCAGCGTGGCTCCCAACAAACGATCCCCGGTAAAAGGAAGCTCTGTCAGAGCCTTCTTGGAAGCCTGATCAACAGACCAGCACTTCAGCCAAAGAAGTCGACGGAGCGTAACCGCCAACACCGACAGTTTTGAGACCAGCGGAGCATCCAAGGCAGAGTTACAAACTTAGCTCAGGCCCTGCACCAACAATATAAGCAGGAGAAACGTTCTCCTCAGGGAGACCTTGGTGTAACATCTTCGCCCCACTCCGTCAGAGTCTGGGAAACTAAAGCCAAGGTCAAAACCGGGCGCATAAGAGCATCCGAAACAGAGTACATGCTCCTGGACACGGCCTCCGCCTTCCTATCAGTGGGATCCCTAAAAGGAAGGGGAGCCTTGTTCAGACGCGAGACTGGAGGATCCAACGCAGGAGGAGTTGTCCACTTAGTCAAGAACGACTCCTCAAAAGGGTAACGGACCGAGAAGCGCTTAGGAACCGAAAAGGACTTAAGTCGGTCGCTTCCACAACTTGTAGAGGAAATCATCAAAGAAAGGAATATAAGGGAAAACCGTAGTGGAACGTTTACTTTTATGCGTCCCAAACTGAACTGGAGGAAGCGCAGATGAACTCGGCGGCCTCCTCAATCTTAAGCGTCTCCCGGACGGAACGAATCAGGGCAGAGACCAATTCACGCTCCTGAACCACGAGGGAGGCGCTCGACTCATCCTCACTACCAGAATCAGGTGGGGAAGAATCCCCCGGTCAGGCCGACGCCGCAGGAATTTCACCCTCCTCATCAGACTCCCCGGAAGGAATAGGGGAGGGAGACGGCAGAGCACACTTTTTAGAGGGTCTCTGCGTCAAATCGCGTTAAACTGTCCATAGTAGACGAAAACGACTCCAAGGACAAGGCGGAGCCGGCGGCACCGACCACCCCCACCACAGCACCCAAGGGTGGTAAAGGAGACTGGGAGAGGGGTGCAGGCGTACAGGCAGCACATAGAGAGGAATGGGAAGCACTTTGCAAAGGAAGCTCACAACCCCCACATAGTACCGCGGACGACTTTTCTCTACAGTCCATGGCACACTACTCCCAGCATACCCAAACTGCACCAGAGAAGAAAAAAAAAACAGCAGGCGGGGGGACCCCAGAGGTACTCACGACCCCGCAGGCTAGTGGAAGAACCGCAACAGTCCGACTCCCGGCCACCCAGACCTGTTCCCTGTTGAGAAGCAGCAGAAGCACGTCTCACTCCCAGCGATCTTCCGATGAAAAGGACCGCCACAGGAAGTGACCGCAATGG